TATATATATATATATATATATATATATATATATATATATATATATATATATAGGTGGATATATAATTTTAATGAATTTCGTATATGGTTACCCACGAACGACATCATTTCATCCCATTATAAATCATACCAAGAACTTTAATTCCTTAATATTTTCCTTAATAGATATCACTTTCATTTTCTGTGCAATATTCAGCAGGTCAGTAGTCATAGCAATATTTCAATGTTTTTGTTCATTAGACAATAATTTTTCATCAGTAGCAATTTTTTCCGCAGGCATTTCAACTTTTCCAAGGCGACCATTTCTATAATCATCCACCAAACCCCACAGATCAAAATAAAGTTCTGTTGGAAAATTGAAGTCGTTCATATCTGACTGAAAAATAGTTGGTTCGGAAGTTTCGAAACTTTCCCTTTCCTTCAAATCATCCTCAAATCATTCAAATCATTAATCAATTGAGGAGCAAAAGGAATTGTCATCACCATGAACTATGATTTTTTTTTCAAGCGATTTCGTGACAAAGTCAACTGTGCATTTGTGGATTTGTTCTCTAGAATTTTCAACTACGTTAGAAGCTGTGACTGGAGTTTATTTAATTTCTCATTCGATTTCTTTGCAGTATTCTAATTTAGCAATTTCCAAGTACTCAAATTGGGACGCTTTACAACTGTCGCGGATTTTCATTAACCGTGACAAAGATTGAGAGTTCTTTCCGTCTCTTCAGTTGATGGTATCTTAAACCTGGGTAATTAAACCATTATTCCTATAAGTTGGTTAATACAGAAACGAATTCAAGAATTACAATATCAATAAGAACATAAGGGAGACCAAAGACCAAATGACGCCCGTTATCGTGTATGAGCATTATTCATGTGAATGAAGTCGAAAAAATAGTCCGCTCCTATGATTATGTCGGGTTGTTTTTGGTAACTTCTGAGATTGCTAATTTCATATCTGTCTGGTACTTCAACCACTTGAAGTTCACTTGTTAGATAATCCATAACATTAGCTTGGACAGTCATATGATTTGAGCCTTTCATTTTTACTCCAATTTGTGTTTGAGTTACGTAGCATACTTTGGGATTCCTGTTGCCAAAGGAGGAGATTGTGTATTCTTCTTCATCGGTTTCTCTGAGATTCAGTCGATGTGCTAACTTTTGTGAAATGAAGGTTGCATCAGCACCGACGTCAAAGAGTATT